TCTGGGGCTCAAAAACAAAATTTATTGGAGCATTTGTCCAGTTGTTCACTTGACAAATAGCATTCAACATATATGCGATTACGTCATTACGATACGGACTCGATTCAATGATTTGGGTATAAATCGATTTCAGTCTCAAATTTCAATGTTTCCGCATTTGCGTAATCGACTTACCGGAATGAAATCACGCGGACGCATTGTGATTGTAAAATAATATATAAGTAATGAATTCGTTAGTTGATACGATTGTAATTATCGCGTTGTCTCTGGAGAAAACGTTCCTCGGCTCCACGTATTATATGTCGTAGTAACAAGTAGCGGGACAGTCGGAAATATTGAAATTGCTTGAAATCATGCGCATGCGCAATGTTTATCAGAAATTGTTGTAGGTATTATTGTTTATTTAACTTATTAAACAATTTTTTGAAGGTTAGACAATCTAAAATGAATCATTTTTGTCAAAATATAATAATTTAGATGTTGTATAATGAATTATAAAACAACAATAAACAGCTTCAAGTGGGTACCTGACTTGAAATGATATCCACGCGGAATTGAATTCTTATCTGTTTATAATTAGCATATTGTAGTGACATGCCGAGTGTCGTATCTATAGGGACGTGCAAATGACATTGAAATTCATGCATCTGATACAAAGCTGCTCAGAAACTCGTTAATCACCGCATCGTTGAATTAAACCGCATACATATGTATTATTTGATCGGCTACGATTATATACAGGTAATCGAATTGAGATCGAAGCAATGAGAGTCAAACCTGCTACCATAATATGTACACTGTTAGTATCAGCGGGTAATTCACGCTGCAACCTCCGTGTAGCCGCGTCGATAGATAGTGTGTAGATAAACAGACTACGTCATGCCTATCGTGTATCGTTTGTCACGTATTTGAACCCTCTTACAGTGGTTCCTGTTCTCCAATCAGTGTATAATCTTTTGCCAGAATATCTTATTGTCACGTCAATTCTTCGTCAGACTGAAGTTGCTGAAATTAGGTTATCAATACAACCATGAAAGTAAAAAGGCATCAATGATAAAACTGCTCTGCTCTTGAACTCTTTCAACTTGTATATTTTTGTTCATACATGCATTCAGCATATTCAGCACTACGAGCGTGACCTGAAGAATTGCCATGATTGAGAGCAACAATTTATGTCGACGTCGCCTCGGTTGACAATGAGCTCTTCGGGTCGCTAAAATTGTATGTCCACGTCTGCTGGGGGTGAACATTTGTATAATATACCACGGTATGATAATTGGTTAAGGTGGTAGAAGGGTGTTATTACATGTTTGAATAAAAAAATCTTCATTTATTATATATTGTTTAAAAGCCTGGAACACACATACTATGTAGTCACAGGCGTCACGTGACATTACCGGATCGGACTTCGTCAAAATGACTGAAATACAGATTTCAAGAAAAAAATGCAGTATTTCAGGATGAAATACACTGAATGCATTTAAAGTCTGTGTGAATGTGCTCTGACTGTTTTAAAAAACCTGGTTTAAACGTGAAAAAGTCAGCCGAATATTCACGACGGAGGTTAAGCTAATACTGTAAAACATGTCCTTTTTACGAGCATGTCTTTTTCGCAAATTCGCTAATTCAAAATGTCGCTAATGACTTTATTATCAATTCAAAATGGTCGTCAAACAAAGAAATCAACAATGACAAGTGAGATTAGCTAAATCAACATTTCGTTATTACGTCATTTTACCACAATTCGCCAAAATTGCATGCCGCTTTTTCAACATGTTTTACAGTAATACCCGTACATTTGTTTGTATATATCATAACTAAAACTGCAAACTTCCGCCACATCTGCTAATTACTTATTATCACTTAATACTTCTATTGTTTTAATACGTCACTCAACGAATCAGATATTTACCGTGACACTACCTGCCAATGGCCGAGAATCCTTAGCACATTTGCCGTATCCATAACAACTAGGACCAAATCTCATCGTAATTTTTTGCAGTTATAAATCGTCATTAAAACATTATTGTTTTCTTGGCAATTTAACGTTATCACAATGTCATGACAATCCCATAACGTTTTGAATAATGAATAAATAATCATTCCATTCCATGCTTTCGAGTTAACAAACGAACAAATGTCAGCACAATGTTTTGGGCGGGAAGGTAATTGGCCAGACCGCCAAATTATTATCAATCCTCGACTTGGATAGATATAGCACAATCACTCGTGCTGTTGTGTCATATATAAACGCGAAAACAGGCCTGGAAGGTCCGTATAACTTTTTCTCGCGTACAACGAAAAGTAGTTCGGCACGAAGTGATGATAGACTATCTGTCCTATTTTACGTCACACTATGAAAATACGCACGTTATACATGATAATTCTATTATCAAAATGCAGTGTAATGTAATGCAGTGCAGTGTAGTGTAATGTAATGTAATGCAATGTAGTGCAGTGCAGTGTAGTGTAGTGTAGTGTAGTGTAGTGTAGTGTAGTGTAGTGTAGTGTAGTGTAGTGTAGTGTAGTGTAGTGTAGTGTAGTGTAGTGGACATCATTTGATTAACAATGAATATATATACTAACTCACCCGAAAGCCGTCGTTGAGAACGCCGTAAACAACTGGATTAATGAAACTATTTGCCATTGCCAGCCAGTGTGCACAGAAATAACTCAAAAGAAACACATCGCGGTCGATGTCTTCTAGACGGAATTGTGACACAATGTTGAGTAAGTTCAGGGGCAGCCAACAAAGTGCAAACAAACACACAATGCAAAGTAACATCTTGGTGACCTGTGGAGATACAAACGGTTTTTAACAAGTAGGTTTTCGCTGCAACATATATGTGTAACTTTGTACGATAACTCACAAGTGTACTGAGAAAGTGAGGTTAGTGAGTACACATTACATACTGCTGGAAATTTCATTTTTTCAGTTTCATTTTCCCCAGTATATGGTATAATATAACACACAATACACTGACAGGGAGCGTTTCGTGAAATATAAAAAACGATCTTTGTTGAGGTATGTTAAGAATAATTAAAGCACTAGTCATTACACTTGATCAACATAGTCGACATGTTATTATATCATTTCCTTGAAACTTTCATACAACAAATAAACGGAAAAAAAAATTGCTAATTGCTTGTATAACATTGTTTTTTTCATTTTAATTTTAAACTATGATTTTGAAAGGGATGCGTATAACAGGAAGCGCTATTGATCGTATATATTACAGCTACGGGAGAAATTAAAAGACCACAACATTTCACAAATTTCTCTGAAGATCCCAGCTGTAATATCCTTTCCATTGGAACTAAGAATCTCCGGTCAGCAACGCAAACATTATGCCATCATTATGTTTCTCAGAAATGCCACTCTTTCTATACATACAAACCCAGACTCTATTAAACTACATTAAAGCCCCCCCCCCCTCACTACAATTACTCTGATAAAAAGGAGACCATACTCGACGCGACATATACGTTTGTCGTCGTATCCTCAGGCAATTACATGCAATTGCCTGCATTATAATGATTGTTTTCTCAGCTACAATTTGTCTCCCGCGTCTCTCTCTCTCTTTCTTGCCTTGTCTCAGTTTGTTTGACCTACAAATGCAACTTTGCGATTTGATACAAAAGCAATGTTGAAAGCCCGATTATTAAACTACACCGGTCGTCATGCCACTTAAAGAAGCATGCACCTTCGACATTTTTCATATTTTTTTTGTCTTAAATGTTGACCTATTTATTGGGAACATGTAAATGTTAAATACTGGTATTTGTGCCTAACATTACCAGTATATGACGTCACAGATGTGTCCTGAATAAAACCAGTATATAACTATGGTTCTTTCCGTAGGCTTGCGTAACACAAACGTGCGACGCAAAAAAGGAAACTCTCACCCAAACCGAAACCATGACAAAATCTATAAGTTTAATGTTTTTTTGCTCTTGGATTTAATGACCCGCACCACACATAACTCCGATGGCAGCTATTTCCTTCAGATCGAACAAGCACTATAAATACCACGAATTCTATAGCACAATACTAATACCCTAGCAGACGACCATTTCGTATTACTTTTTAAGATTACTTTTTCGGCTACAATTCGGCTTCTCTCATATTTTGCAATGCTCAACCCACAAAATGAATATAGTTTTTCGATTTCCCACAAAACACATTTTGGGAGTGACGATTATTCAACTACACTGGTTGCAACATTAATAAAAGAAGCACGCACCTACCACATGTTATTTTGTTTCAAATGTTAACCTAAATGGCCTACCTACGTGCTGAAATATGTTGAATCACTCTGTGCAGAATATGACTTTGTAGACAACATATCAGAGCAAGGTAACATGACTTATTGGTTCGTTACAAACAAACAGACAATTATAAATACATGTACATGTACAGGGTAAATATACATCAATTGCAACTCAACCTCGTTTATTGTGAGTGTCCATCATGGAAGTAAATATATCATCGAGTTTAACTAAATGCACTAGGTATAGACAGGAGAATACATGGGTGTTCTGTGTGACGTATCTTGTAACGTGACGTAATGTTGCATAAACGCATGGTGCAAGCAATGAGTCCACATCCGCTATGTCACACATTTCCGGTTGTAACCCGTTTTTTGGAAAACACGCTGTATTGAATATGTTCACAACAACAAACTAGTTTAGGACCTGCATGGATTTGTTTTGTTGACGAATAGAGATGTCATTTACTTGCACAAATTCACAGAGAAAATGTTCTGTCAACTGCCAAATCCATTTCGTTTATGACACGTTTTCGAAAACACGATGTACAACAACCCATTAGTTTATGTTTCACCGCTTAAAATATGTTGTGTAGGTATTTTCTTTGTTTTGAAATTCGTCTATCAAAAAGTATTTAGTTTCATCTTGAATAATATATGTTTTGATGTAACTTGTTTTGGAATAATTAGACGTAATCGCGCACTTCTCTTATTTGAAACCTTATTCGAAGCCTATGATACGTTCATGCACACTCTAGGTTGTCCAGATTCACGCTGCAATAACATTTGTAAACATTAGTATAACGCGTCCAAACATCTCCATAATACCAGGTTAACACTACCTGCAAGAATTATGAATAATTTTAATATATGGAAGCTTCCGAAGATGATGTACATTTTACACTCACCTTTTTCTTCGATCGTTGATGAGTTCTATCGCGGATACGATCAGCGTTACCCGGTATGTGTCGCCCCCAGAGTCGAATGATTACCTGTGTGTACGTGTACCCGAGCACGATGAGTGGGATGCAGTAGGCAATGATGAATATAACAAATTCATAGGCGATTCCGGCATTGTCTTGCGGCCATCTCTCGCCGCATATCAGTAAGTTATTGTACTCAGATATTGGGTATTCTTTCGTACTGACATAGAATAATTGCACCACTGCCATGGCAACAGCGGTTATCCATATAACTGCTATGGTAATAGTTGACGTATGCTGAATTCCTCTTCGTTGGAGTGGGTAGACGACAGCGATGTAACGATCCACTCCTATTGCAGACAGAGTATAGATACCGACGGTAACAGACACCTGTTGGGCATCAAATATACGTGGCATTTTAATCTGATGTTAGATTCTGTGTGCAGGTGATTGTATCCTGGTATATAATTTGTGTTTCAGTCATTTGTGTTATTCCTCTTTTTAATAAAACTGCGCCCGTTTTCGTCTGTACTCGCACGCCAGTTTATTTTGAATACCCTCTGAAGACAAACGTAATCTGAAAATTAGAGTTATTGTTGATAATTGCCCTGATTTATTCAAATAAAGCAATCTTTCTGAATAGTTTAATATTTAAAAAAAAATTATATAACATTTTTGCAGTACACTGTTTATAAGAGGAAATTCACAATACCGCTGAATCACATTGTAGAAGGTACATATGAATTCATCAGGAATCTTATGTCTATATCGATATATGTTTATGGTACAGATTTTGTTAACCGGTATAGACCTGCAGACTGTGGAGTTCGACAAAATTTTGTTTGAGATCCCAAAACAATTACATTTCCTTGTATAGATTTGCACGCCGATGTCAGTTAGTGGTAGTTAGTCCCATATATCCAAGAGATCACTATTATGTCTGCGTTCTCAAATATTTAACTTTCTCTTATTTCTTCAGAGCTTATATCAGTTCATTGATTCGAATTACTCGAGAAAGACAGAACCTGTCGAGTATTATAAGAGAACGTAGAAAATTGTTCACAAGAGTAAATTCCTGGAAATATTATAAGATCTAAATATGAGTGAGTGAGAGAGAGAGAGTGGCATCATGCTACCATACTATATATTCGTGATATGACATATGACGGACACGTCATGATAAATACAATACTAAGATTTTTCCAAAATAAGAGTAGGCTTCTATCATCAATTGTCATCATACGTGTATACATGTATCAAAATAGATGGTAACTGCGTAAATTGGATGCGATGTTTTGCATGTTGGTTGCTCAAATAAGGCAAGGATATGAGGTAAAATATTGTACTCAAGACATATGTGAACACAGAAACTTAGAAAACATATGCAAATGCGGAAGTAGCAGAACTATAATTAGTTTTTAATTAGTGTGTCCAAAAAAATAACATAATCGTCTGGTGTAATGTATATCAATTGTGCGTTCGTCTCATTGTCAACTTCTGGCGATTAGTTCCAAAATCATAGCGATTGGCACAGATTTTTTCAAATTCGTATTGATTGGTTCTGAATGCAAACTGAGTGGTTCCTGACTCCTTGTAATTGATTCCAAATCCAGGCGACCATGAGCCCAGGAATGTCGACTCCATTCTTGCTAACGAGCTTCATTGTGTCAACACATATCGCTTACTCATCTGGTGATACATAACTTCTAAAAGCGTCCCAGTTACTCCTTTCCTTGTACGCATGGTAGTAACCTCTTTCCCGTTTCTCTGCATTACATATTATTACTAGCTGGGGAAATTGCTGTATGACGTATATATCACCTTTATCGCGCTGTCATTATCAAGATAATTAGAAACATGGTTGCTGTTTTTTCCATTGCATAATTGACTCATGCACCAAATTTAGAAGTGAATTCGGAAATAACATCGAAAGTAAGTCTCCCATGTATCCAAAAATAGCTACTAATCATGGTATTGATGTTCAATAAAATGAAAAACACGCGGAGTAGACCGTTGGTGTTAAATGCAAATCACAATATGTAGATCACGTGATACACATATTTCCAATAAATATGTAAATTCGGGTATCTTGAGAATTCGGAAACACTTAGAAAGCTCATTACCCTTACAGTATTGCGTCGAATGGTAATCAAACATGGTTTCATCTACGATTCTAATAATTCACAGAAACGCTATGAAAAAGTCAGTTTCAAAAAATGATTAATTGCATACTAGGTTTAATAAATATGAACATTGCGTTTACTGTTCTGATGTATAAATCAATGACAATATGCTCTGGTGATGCTGTCCTCATTAAACATTTATTGCATCATCAACGAATGAAAGGTCTCACAGTGTTCCAATCAAATATTGCAGTCTATCAAAACAAACTCGGGAATCTGTATTCTTAAGGTAGAGATGCAGTTTACCTGACAGGTATTTTAATTAGTTAATTAGGCAACCAAGATGACCTCCCTTGTCCACAAAACTATATATTTTCGGAAAGCTTATTGTATGAATTTAACAATTTTGTAAATATATTTTTATGGACACTGTAGTTTTAAATATGCACAAAAGTGTGTTTTTTGGTCAAAAGTTATTTAAAAGAATTATCTTCTAAACCATGCCTCTTTTTCCTGTCAAAATTGGTTTACGGGTACATCTGTTTACTATGAAGAAAGTGCCGTCTTGAAAACTGTCTACCAGTTGTCAATTTTGCTGGGCATCAGCTCAAATTTCACTAATTCAAGTTTAAGCATAAATTAACACCCAGGCTAGTTGTCTGTACGATTGTTGTAACACTGTTCAACCAAAAACAATACCTGACGGCGTTTTGAAGATAAACACATTGTTAACCATTTGTGAAAATTTCAAATGAAAAGGTCAAAGAGTCTAGGAGCTATTTTTTATATGCTGATTTACATCGCCATTGGATTTAACAGAGTTCCACTAATGATTTCAATGTAAAATTTTCACAGAATACAGATATTCATACAATGCCATAAAAAATTAAAAAAATTAAAATTTGTCAAAATTTGCAAAATAAACTGCATCTCTACCTTAAGACGTACAATACAAAATACAAACATTGATTAAAATAATTATTACGTATTTTGTTCTTCTGAAGTCCAACACAATGGAATGACAATATAACTAATGAAGTTATATATAAATATATATATTTTGCTCGTTATATTGTTTTTTTATGTTTATAAAAGTCCAAAAATCCGGACTCATATGGAAATAGAAATGAACTAGCTACTGTCCTAGCTCCAAGTTTTCGGTTTTCTGGCGCCCCTCTTCCTATGATTGTTCAATTCCTGTTCAATTATTTGCATCATCGAATATAGGATGCTGTATTTTGCATTGAAACATCATATTTTATACGGTACATATTATATCTAACACAATTTCAATGTTTTAAAATCACTTTTAGTAACCATATATAATATTTAAAACAAGTTTAGGCTACACCGATTTAATTTTATGGATGACATCCGCGCGAAATACGTCGGCGAATAAGTGTTCCACGCAACTGTACCAGGAACTGTACATTGTTTCCCTACATTAGACTATTTGTGGCATGTGACTATCACCGTTAGTTCTTCAACGCTTCGCTAAATTACAGATCTATCCGTCAATAGAGTGTAGGCTTTCAAGTAGATCTGCAGCGGATTTGATCTCCCGTTTGGTTAATTCTTTTCCATCAAGAAGAAACATGTACGTAAGTAAATAGATGTGATTTCCTAAAGCCACCTGCTCAATGTTATGCCTCTACTTTTACGGTAAGTTTCCAGACGTCATTATCGTAATAGGTTCGGTAGACAGAAATATCGTCTTGATGGTGACTCTTGTTTGACGCGCTGAATTTTTATTATCCGAGCGAATTAATACAATGGTGAATGTATACGTCACAGTTACTGCCGTAAATAAGAGTTTGTATATAGCTTTATATGTGATATACACTATTGGTATTTTACGTTGTGTGGCATTAACACTGACCAGTAGAACGATGCTGGCGCTTTGTGTTATCCTAGTCATATAATTTATACGTATATTTTTTTCAGTGATAGTTTCGACTCTTTAGATTACAGTGTATTAATGACGACACTTGGACAATATAGGTATACGTGCAGATGAGGACGTAGAGGACTAACATGCAGTCTTGAGGTGAACAATCAGAAAAAAAAAACACTGAATAAACCGCACGGAGAATGATGTATAATCTGCATACAGCCAATTACATGATAAAAAAAACGGGGAAGTAATCGGCCTGAAAATTCAAACCAAGCAGAAACAGCTGATATGTATTGCAATTTTGTAGTACGCTTTGGTTCAATCTCCGTAGATGCAATTGATCGCCAAGATTGAAAAATGTTCACTACTTGAATGCAGAACGCAGAATGCGCACGTACGTAGTCACTGAATGTCCCCGCTGATAAATAATGACAAGTCCTTAAAGACCACAATAATTACAAACAACCGAATAGTATTTTTTCCCCTTTAAGGTTAAAAAGTCATTGAAGTCACGTTTCAATGCACATTGGACCTTGCGGGGTAGTGTACCCGGATGACGAGTACAGCTGATATGGCTAACAAAGGTAAAATACCTGTATATACTAAATCGAATAGACAAATCTGTTTTACCAGCCGTGGATATATATATCTGTTAACAAACGCAATCACAGAAATATGGATTAACCTATATGCCTTACATGAAAATACGAAACAAAAATGTTCGAAATACTTGAAAGGATAACGTATTATATTATAACAGTCTGATTGTTTGGATAATTATTGATCGCATGTGTACAGTACAATGGTATTATAAGATGTGCGCGTCTATGCGTTCACATATACTAACAGAATAGTGAAATCTGTTATTGTGAAACCAACAACAGTGTTGCTGTACTGAGTTCAGCGACGCCCAAATTACTACTTAATGCAATTCACGCGCCACGTGTCATGAAATGATTAAATACGTTTACCGGCATGCACTACTGTTGTAGGTAATATTAGCACGGTCCGTTGTCATTTTGTTCAACTAACAGCTGTATATGAAGGTAACAATAAGTTTACTATTCGAGTTTAATCCTTTGAGTGCTAGATTTACCCCGTTTTAAAATGCAAAGCGATTATTTTTAGCATTTTGTCAAATTTACACCTAATTTCATCATCATTTTGTAACAGTCTCAGATATTTATTTAGTTTTTTTATCAAAATTGTTATCAAAATTGTTTATATGCGGGGAGCAGAATGTGAGCAACGCTCGAAGAAAAAAAACTAAACGAGTCACTTTTTTGTAACAATTTAGGTAATCGACTCACTGATTATACGTGTGAAATAGCCCTATGTTTCATCTTCATACATTTTCGTCTATCGTATATTATGTAGTATGACGTCTACAACGAAACATC